TCAACATGCCTGTTTGCATGGGGCATGGAGTATCTGGACAATCACTTCATCAGGTCTCATGTACAATATTGCCACATAAATAAAACTCCAGAGCCATGCAGGACTAAAACTTTTGAAAGTTCGAGGAAGGGCGCCCTGAGAACTCTGATGAAAATAACCTGTCAAACCCCCTTCTTTAAGTTACTGCACAACAATGTTTTGTTTCCCAGTACATTATCTTCCTCTAATTACATTATTTCAAGCTCTCAGTATACACAGGAATTATTCACGCTTCCTTCCAGGCATGATTACATTTGGTGGCCTAGCTATTGTTTTGTGCCTCTTTTTTTTCATTCCCTTCTGATGTTTTTCTGGAAACCATATACTTCATACCAGACATCAAAGCTGTTCCTCCAGAAGCAGTGCTGTGGGCAGCAGCATTGCTTTTCTGAACACGGGGTACACTGCAGCTCCCACCAGGAGAGCCATTTCAGGCTAACAGCCATCTCAACCAAACAGTAAGGAAATACTAAATGCTAAAATTAATGCAATGGAAGCAAGAGCAGCCAGATAAGGCACTGCTTTTCATCACTGCCCCACTGGAGAGAAATCGTCTTGTAGCATCCCCATTTTAAAGGGTTTTACTCAGCTGAGCTGTCCCACTGCAATAACAGTTGTTTGCATAAAATAAGGTGAAGATTTGATCCACCCTCACAGTACAGCTAAAAGCTAATTTGGCTTAATCTCTTTCCCCTTACATACTGAAGCTCAACACAAGCATACAGGAGGAGGGAGTGCCAGAGACAAGATGCATTTGTGATTCAAATTGCAAGCTAATATTTGATGAAGGGGGGATGATTATTTGGATTTTCTATTTCAAACAAGACTGCATGAAATCACTAAGGGAGTTGAAAAAAACACAATTTTTACTTATCATCACAAGAAAGCAGATTTTGATGCATTACATACAGTGTTTGGTGTAGTGCCAGTCCCATGGAGGCTTCTTTGGGTTGTTTTCTTGCTAATCATTTCAAATTCTGCCTTAAAATGAACAGCTTTTTAAAGATTTGCTTTTTATATCAAACCAGTGGCTGTGACCTTCAGAATGTGGTAAAGTGGTAGGGTTTTTCACTGGTCTGATAAAGGAAATGTATTTTCTCATCTCTAGGCTCTTTTTTTACATTTTAAGGATAGATTTACAGCAGAAGAAATTTATTTGAAACTAATTATAAGTCTGAAAACTACACAGTCACAAAAATTACTCCTTTTTTCATCAGTTATAGCTGGGAAGAGGTAACAACAAAGCCAATAAATGCAAAGGACTTTTTTCTTAAACCTTGCTACGCGTAATCCTTGATTATAAATTATTGCTATAGTTTCAATAAGTATTTTACAATAACACTTTCCATAAAAGCAAGAATGAAATCTTTAAAAAGCTGTATATATATGGTGAATTAATATGTATTGCCAAATATTGGGGCACATTTGTTTCAGACACCCCCTCTGGCCAATGCTCTGACCTGCAGATGTTAAAAAGGTAATGTGGAAGCCAGATCCTACTAGCTATTACATTTATCTACGAAGTGTCTGCTATGGGAGTTGGCAATTTTGATACAAGTGTTCAGTTCCTTTTTTTTAAATGAAAGCACAAATCTTCAGCTGATATTGCCTAGAAGCTGGTAAGAGTTGTGTTGTTTCACAAGTGAGGATTTGGTTTAGCATGGAATATTCTGCATCTTCCTCTACCCCAAGGTCCAGATCTTTGCAGTGAATGGCAGTGTAGGCAGTTGGCTGGTACTGAATAAATAAAGGAGAAGAGGATGTGTGTAGTCTATTTTTGCAAGGAATCCATTTAATAGACTATTTTGCTACAACGATTTGGTGTATTTTTCCCAAATATTCTAAATAGCGTAATTTTTTTTTAGGCTTTAGGGTAGAGTAATTTCAAATTACCTGGTGATCTTCAACAGCTAGGCCTTGTACAGACCCATTCAACAATATGAATTTAGATTTGTGGCAATTTCCTTTCTGCATCACTTTTCTCAATAGGCATATGCATCCTTGGCAAACATTTTAACAAGTGTACTTAAAAGTTTAGCTTTAGTTTTAGGGGCTATTTATAATCTCATGTTTGATTAAAAAGGTAAATTTTGATGAGCAGACAGTAATGATATCTGATTAAGATCTTGTACTTTCTAGATTGACTCAAATGCCTAAAACATTTTTTACTTATTGTTGTTATTATTACTCTGGTTTTGTTTCTGATTCTTTGGTATTTATTATCACTATCTCTGGATGGCTGTATATTATTTTAAACCCTAATGCTCTTCTGGTTTTCCTTTTCTTCCTCACATTAACACAGGAGTCCCTAATGAGGGATCTGAGTTGCTGTGAGTTGAGGCAGTGCTCAGAATTTTGTGCTCTGCTTCCAGAGAAGAGTGCTGCACTTCATGGGAACAGTGAGGAAGCAGCAGGTCTCTCCTACTCCTACACACTTAGAGCCATTGCAGCATCTTCCTTCCTCAGAGAAGCTCTGGGTGCAACACTGCCAAGATCTAGAACTAGAAAATAGATTGCAAATCCCAAAGTAGTAGGATTTGATCTGAAAACAAAGCAACACAATCAGCATATTTGTCAGTATTTTTCTTACTGTATTATTTCTAACTTTCTACATTGCTTAACTACTTCAAAGAGCAAAAGGCAGAGGCATCCATGTTGGTCATCAAAGTATCTTAAACTTGGAAACTGCTTTTCATTTGTTGTCTTGCTTGAGATACATACAGTAGACAAGAGTCCATTAGAAAAGTTAGAATTTTAGAGCGTTTTAGAAGTTACACAGGTGACACACTATTTTTACTGATTCTTATTTTTAGAGGATTTCAAATTACCTTAAAAATTGATAGGATGGTGCAGTCCTGTATCCTATATAAAAACTGAAAGACAAAGACAAAAGTGTACTAATGATTGCTATTTATTTTGTTAAGTCAATAAAAAGTGCATAGTACAAGCCCTTTATCCCAATCCAAGTACTCAGTAAAAGATTACTAAGAAACTGCAAATGGCACAGATGATTTTTTGTTTGGCATAATTCAGATATTTGAAACCACCAATTTACATTAAGTACATGACATCATCACTCTTCCTTTTTCAACCGTATTACAAGGCTAAGTGATCTGCAGGCAGTGCATGAATACACATATGATTTCTCATTTTAGAGTATAGTAATTGTGTTAAGCAGACTCTAAAAATACTATTGTTTTAACAAAGTTAAGGTATAATTGTAAATTTCTCTCCATATTTCCCAAGTTGCTACAACTTGCATCTCTTACTAACCAAGCTTAAATCCATCATTACAGAACTGATCATATCCTAGAGCTTTGCATACCACTAATCTCTTCCACACTTCCCAGAATTTACCATAAACATCTGTAACCATGATACAATTATTTAATCACAAATTACATCACTAAAGGCCAGATTTCTGCCACCCTTACTAAAGCTGCTACTAGTACATTATCTCAGAGTAGTTCCACAAACTTCAGTGCAACTACTTGATGAGTAAGGCACTACTTAACACAAATAAGAGTGGCAAAATACAGTCCTATGGTTAGTTACTTTTATTTTAATTAAGAGTGCTGATCTGAAATTTATATCTTGGAGAGAGTATCTGAATTTAAAAGGCAGAGATTTTGATGTGGGATAGTGGCCTGGCTCTTTAGTAAAACATTTTACAATAAAATATTTCCAATTTTTTTTTCTTTTACATAGAAAATTTAAAATAGCAATTTACATGAGGAAAGCATACATGTATAAAATCATTGGGACAATTAAAGGAATTTCAAGCAAAGACATTTCATTTAAAGGTAAACCACAACATTCCTCTGAACAAAAAGTTCATTTGCCAAGACTCTTAGAGCTGGGTGCATGTGGTAAGGTTTATAAATACATAAACAGACATTTAAGTGAGACTGATCCTCACAAGTGAGGACCATCTCCTATAAATCTCACCAACTCCCAACAGGATGAGGAGCAGTGCTCTCTCTGAATATAAGCCTGTTTCAGTTGACTTTTTAATCAATTGGAAGCTTGTTTTATGCTTCCAGTAGTGAAGAATTGTGGCCAAAAATCCTTAGAGAAAAAAGGTCAGTGTGGAAGATTATATGTTTCCTTGTGGGCTCAACAAAATGATGCTGTATTACCTGTTCTGAACAGTATCCCAAACATAAATGTACATGGAAGGCAAAAAGCAAGCACAGGCAGAGTGCTTATCCCAGTGACAGCTTTACACAGTGTTTATGGCCTGTATATTATTAGACATAATGGGACAAATTCTCTTAGCTTCTCCCCAGCAGTTTCACTGCTTTACATGGCACTGCACTGATGTCGCTGAGAGCACCTGGCCCGATAATGTTATTTCTTAATTTTTTTTAAACATGATCCTATGCTTAGGAGCACACTATTCCACAGAAATTCAAAGGTCAATTACATCAAATTACAGAAACCCTTCTTCAGATCTACACTGTACCTTTATAAGTAGGCTTAGCTTGCTCATCATTTACCCTGAAGAGAAAAAATCCTGTCTTGGTCAACCAAGGGATCTGATGTGAGATTTTTGTTAGAGCCCTGTTGGGGGTTAGGTTTCTTCCCTTTTGTTCCTTTTTACTTATAGAATTTTTGCCCATAAGTTGCTAGGAAACACTAACAACTGGATACTTAAGAAATACAAAAAGTGGCCAAGCTCAGGGGAGGAGGGCACACTCTTCTCTGTCTCTCTATAGGCTTCAGATGGGCTGCCGGCGGAACCCAGCCCAGAGCTGCTTCTTCTGCCGTGGGGTGAGCCTCTGCTCGTGAGGGCAGCCACTGAACTGAGACCTTATTAACACCTACCTCACTAAAAGAGGGACTTTTCACCATCTGCTCGGCTGCCCGGGATCCTGAGCTCGCCTCTGGGAGCCGGGCTGCCACTGCCTCGCCCCCGCCGCATCTTCGGCGCTGCTCCGAGCTTTCGCTGCATTGTAGCCCCGCACGCCCTGCCTGCCGAGACACCTTGCCGGCCCTGCCTGCTGCTCCCGAGAGTCCTGCAGGGGCCCGGGATCTATGTCCCAGGGGGGTTTGTGCAGCAAAGCCTCTCTCCCATCCCTTCCCGTCCCGTCCGAGCCGCCATTACCGCGTTTGGCCCGAGACCGCGCCACAGCGCCCCCTGCCGGCGCGGGGGAATCCCCGCCCCTGCCCTGTCCGGCCGGGAGCCACCAGCGCCCCTGCCGGCCGTGCCCGGAACTGCACGAGGGGAAATGCCTGCGGCCGGGAAGGGTCACCGGGTCCTGTTCTATTTGGGGCTAATGCCAGAGCTGTTGTTGCTGTTTGTTTGCTTTATTGCGCATACTAGTAAAGATCTGTTATTCCTATTCCCATATCTTTGCCTGAGAGCCCCTTAATATCAAAATCATAATAATTTGGAGGGAAGGGGTTTACATTTTCCATTCCAAGGGAGTCTTCTGCCTTAGCAGATACCTGTCTTTCTAACCAAGACAAGCCCATTAATACAAATCTTTTTGAACTTTAACAATTGGTTCCTTCAGCTCCATAAATGAAATCCTCATGAAATAAAGGTTTGTAGACTAAGGTTTAGAATTCCTGTATGTCTGTTCTACTGACCTTTAAGGAAAGAAGTTTTATGTTGGTAACATAAAAATGTTCTTTACGTTATTCTGATCAATTTTTCAAATTGAACAAGAAAAATATACAGTGTTGCTTTTCTGTACATCTTTAAAATGTTCTTAAATAAATGTACATAAAAAAAGTAATTCCCATTTGCCATAATGGGAGATGTGCACAGGTGTGTGCACAGCCACACATACACGCATTTGAACATACACGCAGACACACAAATATTAGAGGGAAGAGACATGTCATATGTAGTCACCTGCAAGTTTGTTATTCTACAATTACTAGTAGGTAAGGATGAAATGTTAAGAATTGCTGTGAAAAAACCAGTACATGTTGTATACCAAAAGTTGGTAACTGTGATAACTTCTTGGTCTGATTTAATCCTGTCCAATACACATTACATCATGGCTGAAAACTTCTTAAGGTACCAATTATGAAAAGACTATGCCAGAACAGAAAATTTTACCAGGTTCTTCTTACTAAATTTATCATTGGATTAAATGATAAATTTAATTATTAACACAACTGGGTTTAGAGTATGTTTTTTTGACAATGTATTGAATAAGACATACAATTTATTAATGAAAATGGCTAAATTAACTTTTTTGGTGATATAATCTTTTGTGTAAAGTTCCAAATATATAGATCAAAGCTCTGACAGTGGCAATCATCACATTCACTTACATATGTGTGCGTGCGCGCGCACGCGCACGCGCACACACACACACACACACACACACACACACACAGAGTATAATTCTGGTGGACAATCCATGCTTTTGCCAGCAATCCTGGAAACTGTGTTAGTGGTCCAAAGACCAGAAGAAAAGCTGCTCTGAAACCAGGGCAAATATAAAACAATTTCTATTTTTCAGGACATAACTACGTAATTCCAACCACAATATAACTCTCAAAAGCATACTAGAGAAGTAGTATGAATTAATCTGAAGAAAGGTCAGTAACCTTTCATTCTTATAGATGGACTGGGATTTTCTTTTTCGTTCAATGCTTATCAGAAATCATGGCAAAGAAATTAGGATCACTGTAATAGAAAGAGACTGAGTGGAATGTCTACAGTAACAGTAACAACCAAAAAACCCCTGCAATGCCTTACCATTATTCAAATTACAATCTTATAGGAATTGTAATAACATACAAAGCGAAAATTAACTTAAAATTGAAGTCACTAAAAGCAGTTCATGAAGATTACTGCTGATTGGTAACTCTGCTCTATATAAATGAGAAAAGGAAACCATATTGAGTGCGGTTTAGGAGTAATCTGGTCACTTCGTTCATTTGGTCGTGCAAGGTTTTAGCTGCTGAACTTTTCCAATACTGAATGCTCTAGTCCACTGGTGGGGCTGGTGGTTCTTGTCCCTTGGGAGAAGAACAGAGGAAAGGAAGAAAAAAGCAGGTACAGAATTAGAAACAGTGCTTCACATAGGAGGATTTAGCAGTAGAACAACTCAGAAGTGTTGCATTATGTTTTCTTTCATGTTTTTTCAATATCTCTTAAATTAATTAAGAGCAAATGAGCATTAAAAAACTTTACTTTTCCCTGTATTAACTGAGATTTTTTCATGACCCCACATCTAGGACAAAGATCACCCTTCTCAAAGTATCATGCTGTAATTTTGTTTAAAGCTGTGCTTGACCCCTTTTACCTAAGAAGGTAGGAGGCAGTTTCAACCAGGGACAGACAGTGTCCAGAGGACACGGCACCTGTTCCATTCCACAGCAGGCCTTACACTTAGCCTTCATGATTCCTTTCACTTTGGTTCAACTAATTTTAATTTTTAATGGAGTTCCAAGAAAATAGAGGGGGAATGTTACCGCTGAAGATGAATAGATAACGCGGACACAGGTCGAGGTGTGGTGAAGGAAAGTGCAGAGTTTATTTTTCCTCCCAGGATTTATAGGCTTCTTACCATGGCCAGGGATAGGATGGTCAGGATAACACTTTCTCACTGCACTGGCCATGAGAGATGCCCATCAGAAGACAGAAAGTGTAACAGAAAGAATGTACACATATCTATGTTTACAGTTACTCTCCTGGGAAAGTCCTTAGAAAACTATGTTAGCAAGCTCAGAAGCTGAGTTTTCAGGGTGACAGGGGAAAAATGGGGAAAAAAATTGCTTGGAAACAGTGTGTATGATGTATAAAATCGCATAAAATAGATTTAAGCTATTATAGAATCTCTCTGCAGGGCACTTGAAGATGCACTTACATTGTGTTGGCTGGTTGCCTTTCCGGCTGTGTTTGATCGTCTTAGATTACTAGGTCTCAGTAAGAACAAGACAAGTGCAATCACAACCCAGGCCATCATTATCATGGCAAAGCTGATGCCATTGTCACCGGAGGAGTTTGGTCCTGGCACTACAGAGGAAGAAAATTCAAGTTATAACAGAGTAACAGCACAGTTCTTTTCCCCAAGTGAAAACAAACATGCAATCTCATAAAAAAATCCCTGAAATATTTTTTAGCGGAGTGTTCTGATTAGTCCCTCATTTTGGCTTTGAGATAGTATTACTGTTTTTTTTTTAAATCACATTTCTTATCCATTTGAAAAGAGAATTATCTATTTCATAACATTTCACTGGTATTCTCAGAACTATCATGAATATTTCTTAGTTCATGTTAAATCCTAGTGAACTGGAGATGACAAACACACTCTTCACATTTAAGGAATTAAACTTGATTTTTAAGAAATCAAACTTGATGCAAAATATACTTATGTAGGAAAATCGCCCATATGCATGTTGAACTTTGTTTTTTTGCCTCAAACAAATAAAACAGTAAGACTAAAGTGGTAAAAGTTTAGGCTCCATTGTTAGGCCCCACACAGAGAACATGTTAATTCTAGCAAGAAGGGAGCAAACTATTGGTAATAAATTTCTTGACTCCAAGTTATTTCTTGAGAGTTTGTTTGAAGATGTTTCAATGTCAATACGCCAGATCTCCAAGTCTGATCATCCAGATCATGTGGTATTTCTGCCAGCAACATATCTGGCAGGAGGGGAAAAAATGCCGCAGAGATATATTCCAAAGTGAAGCCTGGGAACGCAATACAAAAATTTTACATAAAATTTCCATACAGAATTCCTGAAACATCAACACATGGAAGTAAATTTAAGAAAAGGCTGGAAACAGCTGGTTTATGTGTTTAGATCAAGAAACTCTTGAAAATACCTGCACATTTTAAAACAACTTTTCTCCTCTGAAACATAACTTCAAGTAATCAAATAGTAACTAATCTTGTCAGCTGAAGTGTAAACCCATGTATTGCAAATTACCTACAGTACTTAACATGAATCCATTTATCATAGTATTAAAGGCCTAACATCTTCATTAATGATCTAGATTATCAATTGATACGGAGGAATTAGTTCAAAGCTATAATGATTAACCTTCAGAAAGAGAAGAGCTCTATTTTATTCAAGATGAAAATTTTAACATTCAGAAAACTCCACAGAGTTACTTGTATCTGTCATAATTTCAAGTTGTCTTATGTGTATCACCTGATCATGGAGTCAAGTCTGGATTCAGTATTGATTGGATTGTTCTTATTTAACATTTACTTGATAACTTACACCCTGCTGGAATAATTTCCTTGAAGGTTAATGCTGATACCAAAGAACCACCCCCATCAATGTCATCCTGGGTAGCATTGCTAACAGAGGCTCTTCCATGGAAAGGATTTGTTCATAACACAGCAGAGGGGCCCTGCAGGGAAGCTTACACCTATGCCATTCTCCACACTGCTGCTCTGGGAATTAGCCTTCATGAGTTAGGGCTGTTGGACTGATGTCCTTTACTGACATCACATGCACTCAAAAATGTCAAATAAGAAAAAAAACCTATGCATTATAGAAGTTCATGCTACTCACAGCACGAACACCACCATTTACATGTATGAGCAAATGAAACTGCCTTAGCCTTTTAAATGTCCAAAACAGAGACATTTCAAAACTCAAGAAACTGCAAATGTAGAGGAATATTATGATTAATATGCAATTACAAGTGAGAATTCTTTTGAAAATCTGAGTGAACAAAGGGCTTTATATATGAGGAGGCGGCATAGTGCACAGAAAATAAATAAGAATGCTGCAGCCTTTATTGATTTTGGAAGCATATGGAATTGGGAAGGTAAGAGTTTAGGCCTTCAGTTTTGTTGACAAAAATATTATTATTATCAGCAGCATACGTCAATATTGTAAACCTTTGAAAATCTTTGCTTTATTTTGGGGCTTCCAGACAACATTAATAGCCATTCTGAGACTACCTTCAGCAACAAGAAGGCCTTAGGTACCTGCTTTGGCAAATATTTCTGGCAGAAGACTGAAAATGTACATGACTTGTTAGTCAGGATTCCCCTTACAATGCAGATAAATGGACTAGTCTGACTGCCTTCTAGAATTTTTCCTTAACATTAGTGCACCTAGAGTCTGTGGTGGTTAGGCAAAAGTTGGGGTAAGCAAATGATGCCAGATCAGGTCATGCTACAGGTGAGGGAAGGGAGCATAAGGGACCACAGAGGGAAACCACAGGCATTCCTTGCAAGACGCAGTTTCTTCCAGCCTGTGTGGTAATACAATTCAGATGGAACCAAATGTGCTGAAACATGTTCTGAACTAACTGGCCCTTCACTACCTACTCAAGGCATGCCAGACACTAAAACAGACACAATGTTTATACTTTCCAAGAACCGTTAAACCCACATCTCTCACAAATAACCCTGTGCTTTAGTAAGGATGTGAGATATTTCAGATTCTGTTATTTTAATCTCTTATGGGGAAGAGGATAAGCAAAATGTCACATAGCTGGGGTTGAATCCAGCTTTTCAAAGCTTTGCATCACAAATCAAGAGAACAGACAGGAAACTATTTCAGCTACCAGAAGCAGTAATACATAGGAGACAACAATCTTGCTACAAAGACCTCCATCCCTGAGATCATCCACAAAATAATAAAATAAAACCAGCTTATGGATAAAGAACAGTTGAGTGAAGGTGCAAACAAGCACCATGGAATTCATGGTGATGAGCAGAAGAAAAAAAAAAAGTCCTGTTACTAAGAGTTTGCAGTCACCGTGCCTTTATCTGTAGCCAGTATTTTTTTGCAACTAATTTACAAGTGATGTTTTGATTCCTTGAAGAATAAAAGTTATCCTCTAAGAGTACCTGTGAATGGTATTTTCTAATATTTTCAGATGGATAGAAGATTGTCCTGGTCTGAGATAAATGTTCCTGCCACCACCCATTTTGATGGATGGATCTGGTTATTAATCTCCAATGCTCCAGAGACACCAATTAGAACAGAATTTAACAGTACATATTCCCATGTCACTGAGAGACATGTCACATAGTCTCTAACCTACCTTTTCACGCAACACTGAATCCAGCCCAAGGTCTTTATTTTCAGAGTATCTGGTCCCCTGGGTTTGGCTTACATATATACCCATACACTTCTGAATGATGCCTGTGAGCAGTTCTGACCCTGTGGTTACCTGGAATATTTATTTATTTATTTATTTTTTACAGTATGGCTGAATTATCTCTCTGCAGGAGAAAGCTTAATGAGGAGCTGGTCTGAGATTGTGAGATTAACTCCCACAGGAGTTAGAGACTATGGTGAATCCTATCTGTTGCTCCATGTATGAGATACAGTTTTTGGACTTGCTTTTTCCTACAGAAGCATAGACTAGGCCACACAAACTAGTCTTCTCTCAGAAAGGAAGGGGAAGTAGAAAAAAAAATTTTCGTGACAGATGTTTGCAGATTTGAGGTTCTAGAAGGCAGTAAAAGCTATTAAAATTATGAATTTTGTAAAAACAATTTTAAAGATTAAAGGTCAACCAATTCCTGATTGTGCAACTGACATCTCAAGAATACAATATTAAGACTACTAAGTGCCCATGTAAAATACCCTTACATTAATTTAGTTCTCTTAAACTGCAATTTTGCCTTCAGAGTGAGGTTGTACTCTCTCTAAAGAAAGAGGAGAAATTTAATTTCTTTTACTGTAAAAGTGTATGTGGTGCTTTTTGTCTGCCCTCTCATGGTAGAAGTATCTTCTTTTGGAGTACAAACAGATTGACCCTGGTAAAAACTGTTAAACATCTGCATGCAGGAAGGCAAAAGCATGCTCTCTGACTTAAGTCTTCTTTTCATGGTGCTTTAAGCCTTGCTTCTTGTTCTGTGAAGGAAAGGTACAAAACTGTATGAAGAGAGGGATTTTAGAAGTGAATCATCAGGGATGACAAAGAGCCTGTGGGACCTTCAGCAGATAACGCCTGCAAGCTGCACGGATAAGGAACCCAAAGAAAGCCAAAATGGATTTGAGCAGAGGAAGGGAATTCCCAGAAAAGGGAGGGAAGAGCTGGCAGACATTTCAAGTTAGGTTAGGCTGCTATGGCTGCCTTAGCTGAATACAAATCACGATGAATCACAGATATATATTCATTTTAAATTGCATAAAAATTTGCAAGTAGAGTAGGCAACATTTGAGAAAGTAATCTCTGACCACGTTACAACCTAGCAGAGCACTGAGAATAGTGCTGAAAATATGAATGTGGTAAATTGAGGTCACAACATCTGGGAATTGCTAGAACACAGAGAAAACTCAGGCAGTAGTACCTCATTTCCTTTGACACAGAAGGCTGACTGTGAAGGGCCATGAGCCACCAGAGCAGATCAGTACCAGCTGGGATCCTCCCTAGGCTGGATGAACCGCTGATGTTGCAACTGCCACACATCAGAGAACCTCCGTGCTCCACTTGCATTAGACAGAATTCAGAAAAGAATTATCGCTTATTCATCATTTCAAGGGAAACTCTAAGATCTTCCGAGTTGCTGAGGAATAACAATCTCAACAGAACATTAAATGTGTTGCCTATTCAAAACTTAGAGCCTTTTCTTTTCTGCAAGGCACCCACTGAAATGGAGGGAACAGTCATCAGACTCTGACACATGCTTTAATGTCACAGCAGATATTCTCATGGAGAACCAGCAGATGAAGAGCTATCAAGCAGAGTGCCCAAATGTTTATTGAATTGATGCTCGTACCTTCCTCTGCCCAAATCCAAAAACACTGGTCCTGACCATGGCAGAAAATTCTTCAGGGAAGTCACTATGACATAATGGTGCCAATAACTGTAAGTAAGAATTTATAGATAATAACACAAAAAACTGAATGAGGGAGACCTGGTACTACTGCCTTGATATGGCTCAAAAAAACAAAACAAAAAAAAGAGCTGAAATCAAGGGTTGAAAAAACAAAGCATGCTCAGGAAGAATCAACAGAGCGTGTTTCTGAAAATTTACAGCTGGTAGCAGCAGCACAACACATGATGCTGCTGTAACATTGGCTGAACCCCAGCCCTGATGTCTCTCAAAACAAAACCATACACATCTCATCAGTTATTCCACAACCTTGCAACTTAAGAATCTGTGTGTGACAACATTCCCAGCTGTGCTTCCAGAAGGAAGACCAAATTCCAAAAATGAGTGAATTGGTGAGAGTGAAACAAACTTGTTCATACCAAGATTCTGAAACGAGGAGTCAAAGTCAGCAAGTAACAGGAAATAGAGCTGTGAGACCTAGGGAAGAGAAGACTCACCTCAAACGTAAGCTCAACACTGTACAGCTCATAAAAACAGTATGAAGCAATGGACAAAAGACTGGCCCAGAATTATTTTAATATGTTTTTGAAAACATCTCTAGAAGCTTCTTCAGGCTCAATCTGTTTGTTTTTGCCTTTGACTCCCGGCATCTTACAGACTGGCACAAGCACAGCATTACAGAAGCACCACAAAATAATGTGGCAAATACGCAGGGCCGTATCATTGCATCAGCAGAAAAATACCTTTGCCAGAACTACATTTAAGGCAGTATAATAACATAGGAAAATATTTACTCTGTAATTTTTGCTTTGGTTTTTGAAACAAACCACTGGTTTGGAACAATTACTGCCAAATTGCCTGCATCTGCCCAGTCAGTTATTGCAAGAATCTCAGAATGGAAAGCTATTTGTTGCAAACCATTCAAATCCTCACTGTACTACAGCTTGGTAACATTAAAGCTATCCCACAAGCTTTGTGCCCACACATATCAGAACTTACTCATTTACATAGTCTTTAGCCTAAAAGCTTCATAAATAGTGATGGCCCAAGACTCCCAAGGCAAGACTGAGAATGACCTACCATGGCTTGGTTTTGACAGTGGACTAAAGCTCAGAAAGCTCCACACCCTGCCTGTGCCTCCTTCTAATATAGAAAATATTCTATCTCCCATCATCTGCCTCTTTCTCTCTCCTACATGCCTGTGATTAGAAAATCTACATAGAAGTCTAAGGTGTGGGAGACTAAAAAGTCTGCCTCTTGGACAGGTGTATTTGGAAGAGGAGTGATGGAAGTCACAGACAGTGTAACTTGTAAAGCCCATAAAAGAAGAGTAAACCAGCAGCACTGTACAGCACATGTGCACCACACCATCTTTTCCTCAGGGGTTATGTGGGACAGCTCAGTTTTTCCCCTTCATGCATGGCACTGAATCTGGGACTGTTTCATAGTGGCAGAGCCCAGTGCAACTCTGAGCTGGATGCCCATCTCTAAACAGGTTTTACAGGGAAGTGAAGAGGTAGGAACATAAGGGTGAATGAAGGCATGCACTCTCTCCAAGATGCTGGAAACCTTGCCTGCACTGCTCCTAGACCTGTAAAAGATACAGGCACAAGCAGGTCTTGCTTATAAGAATACTGCTCAGGTAATTGCTGCTCCCTTAAAGCATTACAGCAGTCCTGATGCAAGCTGAGTGAGTTTACACGCTGAATTGGTAAAGTTGATAAAGGAAAAACAGATCCACTTCACTTTTACTTATGAACATTTGACAACATTCCCTCTAGCTCACAGAAATTGTATCAGGGAGTGTCTCAACGCCTCAGGGCATGCTTACGTTACTGCATAACTTCCCCTCAGCTATGCTTCACTGATGATTCTGGTAATGTTTGACTGACCTAGTACACTGTTTGGGAGAGGTTTTTTGATGCATTTCACAATGAATTCCAAGGAAGTGTACAGATCAGTGCTCTGCTTCATTAACTACACAGGCACCAAATCAACAGAGATGCAGTCATGGTGTATGTCAGCTTATGAGTCAGAGCTTCCTCTTCCTCACAGTGCAGTAGAGGGATCACAGTACTGACAGTACATCACCCAGCCTCAGCTGTGAACACGTCTGTGTCTGTGTGTATCTTGTGCTCAGTATCTAGTCTTCACTGGTTAGGTTGCTCTGAATCTGAGGAGGACAAATAAAGCACCTTTCCAAATTTTCCCCTCAAATCATCATACTTGGAGGCTAACAATAAGATTCAGTAATACTTGGGGCCTGATTAATGGTTATGCTGTTTTATTGGTACCTTCAGGCTTCTCATCAATGTTGCTTCTAATGTACAAATGCTCATCAGATTCTCAGAAACTACCTCCCCAGCATATCAATTTTATTACTGTAGTATTTGATTTAATGTAATATGTTCCTATAACATTAAATCAACTGCTGCATTTTAAAGAACAGTCAGACTGTGTTTTAATTACTGCTGTTCATTTTAGTTCCATGAACCTGATATGAACAGTTACTCACATTCCTGAAGGCATTCTGTGTCTGTGCAGTACGACTGGGATTGTCTCAGCTGAAACAGAGAAAAAGAAAAGCGTGACACTTAACAATATGTCTCGGCTGGCTTTTACTGAAATCAGGATTTAACATATTGTCAGAGTAAAGTTCAAGTATAACTGATTCTTTACTGGATCACACTTGGCTTATGGTATGTCAATAATCCCAGGAATGGAGATAGTTTCTGAACACTATTTACATAATACCTTTAAATCACCTGACTACAGTGTTAGTGCTTCTAATTCAGCCACTGAATACCTTTCAAAATTCAAGTAAAAAAAATCTGTAGTGATATAGGAGCTATTATATACAGATATACTCTCTACAGATATTTTGGTATTTATAATGGACAGGTGTTCTTACTATTAGCTAGAACAAGTAACATTAAAATACTCTTTGATTACATCACAACAAATGATCAGACTGTAATAATGGTTATGCACAGAGAAGTTGAATTAATATTTCACATTTAAACTTAGTACTTACTATTTTCCCACACCAAGACCTTTTTTTTAAAAGCAGGTTTTAATAAGTATTTTACTGTTTTTCCTTTTTACTCATGGGTAGAACTTAAAACATTTTTCATGACTGTAATGACTATTTGATTTAGAGACTAGGTAAGCTTGCCAACTGCAAGAAAAGTCAGTACTGGCTAACCTGCAAATCAGTACAGCTATTTTACAGATGACAGAGATAGAAAAGGAAGACAGATACCACATTCTTTATTAGGATCAGAGATGTTAAATGGATGGGATTTAATGTTCAGCACTATGGAAACAGATTCTATCATCTGCCTAGGTAAACTGCATGGATTATTAGCAAAAGTTTTTAGAAGTACAGAATTGTTACACTGATTTTTGATTAGAAATTACATTTCCTTTTTCACAGGTTTCATGATACAGTTTGTGTCACAAACCCCAATACTTTTTGTCACAACAGGCTAATCTGTTTATTACCAGTGTAAATATACAAATATTACAGAGAAAAAAAGATGGTGCTCTTTATGTACGAAATACATTAATCATTTCCACACAACCCATTCCCCCTGTATTGGCATTACTGATTTAATGTATGTAGTCATGTTATGCAAAAGACATCAAGGAAACAGATGAAGAACTGGAGAAGGAAGACATCTGGGAAAGTATAAGCTCCTTCTTTTATCATAAAGATTGTCAATGACTGGCACATTTGGAAAAGGAAAATGTGTAATTGGAGATTGATCACATTAATTCTTTCATTAATATATTAAGATCTACCAGCAAATTTACTGAGACTACAAAGAAGTCTCTTAGGAAGGAATTTGGAAGGCTGGATTTAACCTTTCATCTATTTCTATAGTTAAAAACAGTGTCAAGGGAAATTCAGGCAGAATACTTTCTTACTAAAGGAAAAAAAAAACTATCAAACTATGCATATTTCCAGCCCTTCTTATATAAAAGCTCATTTTATTTTTAAACTTTGGAAGTAATTTACAAAGGGAACGTTTTATCTTAGCAATAGTAGCTAGCTGAAATATTTGAAAGATTTCTGAACTGGGAAAACTGGATATTCCTATACCCATATTTTTAAGAACTCAGCAACATAATTATCTTCTGTTTGTGTAAGAGTTTAATTCTGAGAGGGGCTTAATTTATAATCCCTACTCAGAACACCATTTAGAGATACTGAACACAGAAGGATGACCAGAATTAAAATGGGCAACAGATATATGATCAGAAACATTGTACAAGCATCTCGTTATCCCACTCTGTCCCCATGATGGCAAGTCCTCATACAGCTTATCTAGTTTGCCTGGATACAGAACACTGCCTGCTGGTGTTCTAGCCACAGTAGCAGTTATCTCCCATTCTAAGTGTCACACTCTGTCCAAATACAACTTTTTTAAAGCTCTAGGATGGTTCTCTGAGCCAGGTAACAGATCTGTTTTTAACAGCTCAGCTGCTTATGCTTACAGAGAGGCTGCATATTGTCATTGTGGGATGAAAAACAGCAGATCATGAAAAACAAGTAGCAGTAAAAAGAGTTTTTTCTTAATTCACTCATGTCAACAAGTAAGGTCCCTTACTGTGTAACCCAATATGAATCTGATTCTTTGTTGTCACTCCTTTAGTCAAAAGACAAGAAATGATTCTGGCACATGTAGGAAACACTTACGTAAACTGAATGGCTGGGAAAGGTAATGCCTTTCGCTGAAATAAAAATCAATTAGCTCTCTTTTGACAATGACACCCTTTAAGGAACACAGCAACTGTTGGGAAAAACTAAACGTGCAACATTTCAATAGTAAGGCAATTGAAAAAAGAGCAGTTATCAGGGACTGGAAATAAATAGTCCTTTGTATTAAGATTTTTCTAATCCAATGTTGAGGGGAAGTCTGGATGACAGTTTGTGGAATAATCGTAAAAAGTTGAATCAGACTTCTCCTGTTCTCAACAAAACCCTCAAAAAGACTTCAAATACACTCAATGTTTTTCAGACTGGGAACAATATAGAGCTGATGAGAAAAATTTGAACAGAGAAGTAATTCTTCAAATATGTTAACTCCTAGATACGTAAAGACAATGTTATTAACAATGACTTTGATTTTATTAATACTTCAGAGATCCTTGCCACACTTGTGCGGGTGAAAGTGTGAATTTAGTGAAAGATTAATAGCTGACTGTCTGAACTAACATGTACTAAAGTCAGCAACAGCCTTTTTATCTTTTTCCATATATTCGAAAATAGACCCTTAAGAAGAACACAAATTTAAGGCAAGTGAAACATCAGGCCATATTCAACAAAAGAAGAGAGTAAAAAATGTTACAAAAATAAGTATTTATACTTTTTTCCATTTAAATAAAAAAGATTATATCTGAATTTTAACATTCTCTGTGCAGTTTGTCATTCAAATTTATAATAAATAAATAAAATAAATAAATTGTGCGAATCAAACAATGAACTACTTTATTTTTTTTGTTCAAAATGAAATAAACACAAATTGTAAATATCATGAAAGCTAGAAGAGAGTTAAAAATTTGCAGTTTTAGTACAGTACAAACTAAATAAAAATAAAAAGAAAATGAAAGTAAAAATACTCATTACAAATGTCTATTATTTAAAATACAACTGTGAACTTCCATTTCTTCCAAGTACATTTAAAATCTTGAATAGCCCAAGTTAAAGTAATTTAAATTAATAATCCCCAAACCACAAGAACTCTGGTCAATAGGAGAATTTGGTTTCTATGAAACCCCTGATAAGTTCCTGGAAGAGGCAGTAACGTCTGAATCACAGAAAATTAGTACCCACTAACTGACATATTGTGAATGTAAACTCAACACAATACCAAGAAAAAGAAGAAACCAAGTTACTTCCAGTGGTTAAAGGGCTCTTCCTCACTCTATCCCCATGACACTCAAATTTTGCATTGCAAAAATAAAAAGGGCACATTTCAAATAGCTCCTAGTTCCAGTTTGAAATTGTTCTTCCTTTCTTTTCCTTTTCCAAAATATACAGCTTTTAGCTCCAGTTCACACTAACACTGCAGTGTTTAGATCCTGCTCCTTTGAGACAAGGACAGTTTTAACATGCCACCTTGTGGATCAACAGCATCCACCCATCAGGCACACCTGAAACCTGTGTCCTGCTGCTCCTCTTTAAACAGAGGCCATGTTATGGTAGGAGTCTGCACAGCTTTTATCAATGAGAGCCCCCATTTTTTACAATTCCCAGTCGTGAACAAAACGTGAACAGCCACAGTAAAGGGACACTGCTATTGGCTTCTGAAAACTCTTTTGTGAAGTCACCACAATAATTAAAGTCTGTTTGTTTTTTGGGTTTTTTTTCAGGTGTACATTTTTTTCCTGTGTTCTTTGTGTGGTGAAAACAGGGTGTGAACTTTTACTGCTGCTCCACAAAATCACTGAAGTCCAAGTGAAATAGTAAGCCCAGTGAAAACAGCTTCATCTAGCTAAGCAGAGAACTTGTTTTTCTAACACAGGGACCTCAGCCACCAGGACAATTTCAGTCTTCCTTGAAAGAAGTGAAGTTAGTTTGCACTGCTCATCACAGATACCTGCTGTGGAGAAGGAAATGCACACTTTGTCTACCTCATGTTACCTGTCAGTAAGTCATTCTTGCTTCAGTCCTCTGCTTCCTCTTCAGAGGAGTTTAGTGAAACTCTTCAGGTGAGTTTTCAGAGTTTGCTATGCCAGAGTTCAATAGTCTTACAATCTCTGGGACTGATCCTGCAACCTCTGCTAGTACAATTTCTTTTTCAAAATTAAAGTTAATAGCATACTGCCTGAAAAAAGATTCAGGGTTTCTATCTGGGGGAACCTAATTAGATGGGAAAGATGGAACTCCCTGGATGGAGTTCCTAACATCAAGGGAATAAACCTGAAGCCTTGGGAGTCAGGGTGCTGGGGAGATGCTGATGGAGTTATCCTATCTTAGACTCATAAGGTCAAAAACCCCTGTCCTCTGGTCACGACTGGATACCTGCCCCTCAGGTAACCCTATGTATTGTGAAGCCCACCACCCCCAGGGTCTTTGGATTGCAGCCCTTGGACCACGAGGTCTCTCTGCGAACATGAAAATCCATCAAACCCATCCTGTTATTATCACCATGCTGCCCAGCTGGACCGGTTCTGGATTGCAAAAAGCTGACGGTGATATCGATCCAGTGTGAACACTTTTTGTCTTGACAGTTAAATGTATTACTTAAGAGTTAAAAAAAAAAGGACAGAGCATACAGATATCAGGAAGATCCCAATGATCAGACAGCTCACCAGTTTGTAATTTTTCAGGAGAAAGAGCAGCATAATCCCTGTCCAAAAGCACCTTCCAACTCCAGAAATGGTGTACTAAAGAGGTAACTAAACAAGAACAGGACCAATGGCAGGAACAAAGTGTAACTATCAGTGCAGTCTAGTGAGAATGGCAGATGAGGTGAATATATAGGGATAAATAAAATAACTACATTTTAGAATAACTTTTGAGTCTGTTCAAAGCAGAAATAAGTCCTCAGAAAAG